AAAATGTGCAGAACTTAATATCTGTGAAGTATCAGGAATTGAAATAAAACATTATGTTACAAGATTAATTTTTTGTAGAGAAAGCAAATTGTGTGAATAAGAATTAATTATCTTGTACATATATTAATCTTGTATTAAGTGTGTCATCTTTGACCATTTCCCTTACTTGTATCTCCCTTAAGCACATGGAGTTCTTGATTTATATCAAGGGTTCTCAACCTTTAAGACCTGGAGTCACATTTTACCCTTTTTATCAGATTTTGGGAAACCATATTATAAGTGATGAAATGTTATTGAAACTTTATGACAGTTATTAAAAGTACTGCTAACTTACTATTGTATAAACAGGGTGACACAATACTTAAAAAGTTTTGTAACAAATTTGTTGATTTTTTAATTTTATTAATTACTCATAACTAAATATTTCATTCAGTCAGTAACTTATTCATTGTACAGAGTGATAAAGTATTATAGAAATGTACATGGGCCACATAAAACACATCGGCAGGCCACATGCAGCCCGCGGGCTGAGAGTCCTCGATTAAACTCCTGCCCAGTTTTTTTTTAAAATATATGGATGTATATATTTTCATTATATAACAATTGGAAATTCCTTCTCCATCTTTAATATCCATGTTTAACAACTCAGTGAGTGGTAGTGTACATCATTTGTTGCTATGACAACTGCATATCTGTTACTTTATGGTGTTTCATGACCAGTTCAAGAATGGAATGAAGACAAGGATAGTAGGGTATAGTGCAGTGAGCTCCTTTGTGATTTCTAACACTGATTAGTATTGTGTCTGTGCTTGTGTGCTCAGAATAGTCAACCAAGGAAATATGAACCTCTGTACTTCAGAGATTGGTTTTAGGACAATTTGTTATAGTGCCTTTCTCAGAACTTAATGATCAGGCCTTTTATTGAAGATTTAGAGACACTGATTTTAATAATACCTGCAGGATGAACTCAAAAGTGACAACATATTTTCCTTTTTTGTATCAGTATATTTTAATTAAATGTATTATAGCAATTTTTTGTGAGTATAAGTACTTTGATGCTTGTTAGGTATAAGTTACTTCTTCAAGACATTCAGTATAATTCATACATGCCAATTGAAGCTCAGAGATCATTATATTCACTTTACAGCTGTTATTGTCATTAACAAGGTGCAGTGTTCCCCCTAGCTATACCTTTTTTATGGAACATTCTTCTTCAAAGATTTATATGAAACAGCACCTGAACTCTTGTGTGATTTTGGACTCTCGTGGTTGCCATATTGTTCAGATGTAACTATTGCAACTATTTTATCATATTTTTAAACATCATAACTGGAAAGTTGTCAGCAGTTGCATCACTTAACTTTGAAACAGTGTATTGTTGTGGTGAATAACATGAGACAATCCACATGTGACAAATTAAAATACATTATAAATTAAGTACTATTGAATGTTTTGTTGTACTATATGAGAAAACAATTTTTTTTACCTACTATCAATTTGAAACTGCCCAAAGTAACCCTAAAGGGAAACAGCTATATATTCTGTTTGCTGTCTGTTGTAAAGAGGAGAGTGATATATGTCTTCTCCATGTAAGTGTGAATAACCTTTGTATGTTTGTACTAATGTATGTACAGGAATTCCATATTAATTTGTACTTTGTTGCCATTGAAATTTGCCAC